AAAGAAAAAGACTATTACACACATATGTACGTGTGTGTGTGTGTGTTACATTATGTCTCTATCACGTATATTTACTGTATAATGAACTTATGGTGAACAGTAGCCTAGTGAACACTGTCTGATCACACACCTGTTCTGTCTACAAACGCTTGAATGATTGAGGACACACACGTTTGTTCTCATGGCTCACCTTTCAACCCGCCTCGGCCATGAGGTCATGACTGAACATGATCTACATAGTGGCCCTTATTTCTTCAGAAACCTACATTCTTGGCCTGTTCTATCTCTTCCTCTGTTTTACCTCTGTATCACCACACATGCTTACTCCTCTTCTCCTCCTCGGCTGTTCACCCTGTTGTTCTTCCGTTCTCAGAGTGTGTATGTGTTGTGCTCTGTCTATATGCCAGAGGAAGATCATGAGATGCACTCTGAGCGATTATAGAGAACTGGTGATCATTGATTGATCTAATGCTTTACATTCCCCTTCATTAGTGAAATTCAGAATTCACATCTGCAATTCAACAATTCAGGACAAAAAAAGTCTAATAGAATTGTATAGAAAATATGTTTGACAGTTTATGACAACTAGTTCAACCATTCTGCATTTAATGACTTATGGAACTAATGCCTATATGTTTTGAGGGGTCTATTGCCTATATGTTTTGAGACTATTCAACAGAGAACCAGTATAATACATTTTGATAAACATGACATAAGCAATTAATAATGTAAGAAACAGCAGACACTTGTATATAAATTGCATGAATGTACCAAAGCATTTGCAATTTGTTCAAAAGAATGATAAACTGCTTTTATGATGTGCATTTTATTTATATTTAAATAGAAATACTTATGTTTAACAGGTTATTCAAATGTTTCTGTTGATTAAACAGTGACTAGATGATGATGTCTAAAACAAGAATTTTAGTTGTGATCTGGGAAATGCACCAAAGCGACTGAAAAAAACTTCAATATAATTATTATAATAATATAATATATAATTAGAATGTTGTAACTGCTTTCCTCTATATAATATAATATAAAGAGAATGTTGCATGTAAGTGCTCTCCTAGATATATAATATAAAATAATATATAAAATAATACAATATAATATATAATATAAAGATAATGTTTGCTGTAACTGCTCTCCTAGATATATAATATAAAATAATACAATACAATATATAATATAATACAATTTAAAGAGAATGTTTGCTGTAACTGCTCTCCTCTATATAATATAATATAATATAATATAATATAATATAATATAATATAATATAATATAATATAATATAATATAATATAATATTAAGAGAAATGTTTGCTTGTTTGCTTTAAGTGAATGTGTTGCTGTGGTAACGGACTCCCGCTTGTGCGGTGGGTGGGGGCGGGGCGGCGCCCGCTCACTGATATATGAGAGGGAACGGCAGAACGCAAAGTAGGAGAAAACACTTTTTAAAAAAAGATTACTCATAAAAGCAAGCGATTAAGCATGTTTTCACATCTTTTTGTGGCTTGTCTGTTTTTATTAAACAAACTCGGATGAATAAATCATCACACCCATATTGACAGATTTAATCAGTTGTTCCTCTGCTTTTGGAAGGAAATATGTAACGTACTTTTTAAATTCACATGACGTAATGTGTCTGTCCCTTCCCCGCTTCAAACTCGTTCCTACATGATTAATAAACTCCTATGTAAGTTACTGTACGTGCTGTATAGTCTCGGTGACGCGCAGCAGCGCGATCTTCACACACACACAGAGCAGACTCTGATGCGAGAGCAAAACTGCGAGGATTAAAGTTGAAACACATGCTCATATACATCATGAGAGCTCCTGCTGCTCAGGGCAAATTAGTAATTTTTTATTTAAATAATAATTATTGGCAATTTATCTATAATTGAATGTGGATTATCTGTTTATTTATTTATAATAATGATTTTTTTTTGCCTCCGCCATCTTTGTTGATGACGTAATGGCCTCTGATTGGTCAGATCATCAAGTCCCGCTCTCATAGTGGCTTCCTGCGCTCTGATTGGTCAGAATCCCCGAAGTGTGTATCTTTTCCGGAAGTGCAGTACTCCTAGAGGGCGCTGTGTTATACACACTTTAGTGGGGGGGCATACACACTTCACATACACAAATCACTTAAAAGTGATTTTTTGGGACAAGTGAGATTTTAAGTCTGGACACCATTTTAGAGTATGCTGAATGCCATTATATAGTCAAACAAATGAGGACATACAAAATGTCCTCAATTTTTGAGGTGGTCCTCAGTTTACTGGTGTGTATCCTGGTGAATGTACCCAAAAGGGACATAAACACACACACACACACACACACACACACACACACACACACACACACACACCACAGCAGCCCTTGGAGTCTCCGCACCAGACCGACTATCAAACCTCAATTACAGTCGGGACAGCAGCCAGTGGTTGTGGCGCATTCGCCTCGAACGCAGAACGACACTCAGTCAGGGAACGTTCCTGTTTCCTGCTGGTTTTCCTGAACTAGAGAGTTTGACACTTACAACTCAAAAAAAAAAAAAAAACTAAAACGGTACAGAATAAATGGGAATAAAATCACATAAAATGCTTTATTTAGTTAAAAAAAAAATGCTTTTTTAAAATAACTTTTTGGTCTTTGCTGAAATCTGAATAAACTTCGGTGCATAACTTTGTGCTTCAGACATAAATGATTCCTCTAAACTTCACAGCTTATTGAGAAGCAATAAGAAAAGTGATCTAACTTGTAATTTTGATCTGGTGGGTGATAAAATGGCCAAGGAAAAAAAAATCATACATTGCAAAAATGATTTTCTTACTTAATATTTTTGTCGTGGTTTCCAGTACAAATATCTAAAATCAAGATACATTTACTTGTATCAAGATAAGGTATTAAGACCATTAAAATCCATCAAAATTAAGCGGGTTTCCACTTGAAACAGGACAAAATATCAGCCAATGGGGTGTGAAAAATCAAACTTATTCAAAGGGGAAATGATTCTTTCTCTTACCCCATTGGCAGATGCTTGATCTTGTTTTAGAACAACTTTACATTTTTCAGAAAAACTCCCTCAAAAAAAAAACCCTCATAAGGCTAGTCATGTGACTCGGTGGCCATCTTTGAAACGCCTCTCTGGCAGCGGTTTCAGTCATGCAAGTGTAGCTCCAATGTCTTTGAATGGGGAAACATCAAATTCTTCAAAGCTGTCATCTAGCTAACGATTAAATTTCATATTTGAAACCACCAATGAAATCTGACAACAACTGTATAATACACTTTGCTTATGACCTCAAATCATGATAAAAAAAGGCATTTTTCAGGCTGGATCAGACAGAGTTCATTTCAGAACAATGAGCATTTCTAAAGCAACCGGAGCTTCTAACGGCAGCTGCAATGACGCGATGACTTTACCAATAGGCAATTGGCTCTTTTATTTAGAAGGAGGGACATATTCTGCCATACTGCGTGTTGCACTTTCTCCCATTCATAGTAATATAAGTGCACTGTAATTTTGGTTTTCAAGTAAATATATCTTGATTCAAGAATGTTTGGATATTTGTACTTGTAATATTGATTAAAGAAATAATTTTTGCAGTGTATAGACCTGGAGGTATAGACTTAACCACCAAGCGAACAACTAGTAACACCCTAGCATTGTGTTTTGCATGTGCAAGCACCACTTACATCGTCTTCAGAAAATGTACAAGTCTAGTTTTATCCTACCACTTTAATTTAATGCAGAGCTTAAGTGTTTCACATAAATCTGAAATGATTTAATGGTCAAGTAAAGCAAAGAAGAGTAAATCATTGAGTTGAGCGTCAGCCGGTGTGTTTTAGTGTGAGTGAGTGTGACGGTGTGTCCGTACGCTGTTTGAGGCGGGGGGGGGGGGGGGGGGGCTGTTGACCTCTGCTCTCACTGTCTCCGCTGAGCACCGTTCCCACACACAGCACAAACGCATCACATCCACAGGAAACACACTCTCAGCACTCCACCCGCTACCTCTCCAACACACACACACACACATACACGTTTTCTTAGCTATCTAAATGGGGACATTCCATAGACGTAATGGTTTTTATACTGTACAAACTGTATATTCTGTCCCCTTACACTATCCCGACTCCTAAACCTTTCCATCACACAAAACACATTTAAAAAAATAATAATTTATTTCTATACTAGATTTACAAATGAGGACGGGAGGTTTTTGGAGATTTTGTCAGGTTTTGGTCACTTCTGGGTACAAATTTGTCCCCAAAATATAGTTAAGTACTGTAGGTACACACACACACACGCAACCAAAGACAGGACCAAGAATTGATGATACATAAAAAACAAAAATAAAACAACATATACAATTAAATAATATATATAAAAAAAATTTAATAAACTAATGTATGAATAAAATCAAAACAAAAATAAATAAAATAAGTGTATGAATAAAATAAAATAAATAAACAAGTATGAAAAAAAATCATGTATGAATAAAAAAATAAAAATAAAACCACGTATGAATAAAATCAAAAATAAAATAAATAAAACTACGAATGAATAAAATAAAATAAACCATGTATAAATAAAATAAAATATACAAATGTATGACTAAAATAAACTAAATTAAAAAAATAAAATAAACCACTTATGAATAAAATAAAATACAAAAATAAAATAAACTAAACCATGTATGCATTAAATAAAACAAAAAATAAATAAATAAAATAACCCAAGTATGAACAAAATCAAATAAAAAAATCAAATCAAATAAGTCAGATTTAAATAAAATAAAATAAACCATGTTTGAATAAAATAAATTAAAATAAACCACATATGATTAAAATAAAATCAAAAATAAAATAAACCATGGATGAATAAAAAAAATAAAGATATACACCAACTAATAAATCCCTGACCAAACTCATCTAAGCAAAACACTGATGTGCAAAAACTAGATGTTCTTCAGTTTGTGTGTCATTTTGTTTTTCTATACCTTCATTTTCTCAAGCTCTTGCAGCCTCTCCTGCAGCTGCTGCTGTAAAACCTCGTTCTCGCTGCCCAGCTGAGCGGAGCGCTCTTTACTGGAGCGAATCATCTCTTTGCATCTCTGCAGGAGACTCTCTTGCCTTTTGATTCGCTTCTCAAGCAACTCAAGGTCCACCGGGCCGCCCGGCTCTCCGCTGCCCTCTGCTGGACACACACACAAAAGACAAACAAACAGGTTAAAGACAACTTCTGTGTAGAAACATGTTAAATGTGCACTGGAGAGTCTGCACACACCGTCTTTCAAAGGGCTCTGAGGGTCAGAGGTCGCGTCAACCGCATCCTCCGTGGACTGAGAGGTCTCAAGCTCTGACGATACCAGACCTCCAGGCGCCTGTAGTCGTTTCTTCAAGAGAGACACCTGAAGACAAACAGCTTCGGTATCACCTCCGTTAACATCGGAAATGACTCGAGCAATAGAAAATAAAGGCGTACTTGAGTCTGAAGCACAGTGATCATCTGGTCCTTCTCCTCGAGAGCAGCATCAAACTCCTCCTGCAGGTGTTTCTTGGTCTGCTGGTCCATCTGGAGCTCCTGAGGAGGAGATACGAGGCTCGCCGTCACATCAAGAGTTTTAGAGCAGCTTGCCAATTCTATTGGCATTTTCTACTGAGTTTTGATGATCTCATACTTGGGAATAGGCAGTTTACTGGCGGTTTAAGGATAAATAAGCACATTAAATCATTTCAATATAGAAAAAATTAATAATTTTTATGATTTTGAAAAGTCTCTATTGCATTTATTTGATCAAAAATACAGTCAAATCGGTAATGTTGTGAAATATTAATGCAATTTTAAATAGCTGTTTTCTATCTGAATATATTTAAAAATTTAATTTAGTCCAGTGATGCAAAGCTGAATTTTCAGCATCATTACTCCAGTCTTCAGTGTCACATGATCCTTCAGAAATCACTCTAATATGCTGATTTGATGCTTAAAAAACATTTCTTATTATCGTCAATGTTGAAAACAGTTTTAAAGTGACTTTATATTTTTGTGGAAACTGTGACAGATTTTTTTTCCCGGATTCTTTGATGACTGAAAATTCAAAAGAACAGCCTTTATTTTAACATTGAATATTTTTCTAACATTATAAATGTCTTTACTGTCACTTTTGATCAAATTGAATGTATCCATGCTGAATAAAGTATTAATTTCCTTATGAAAAAAAAAAAAACATCTTACAGAGCCCAATTTTTTTAACAGTAGTGTATATTAAATACTTGATGTATGCAGTCTAATCTCCATCCAATCAAAACCAGAGAGACAAAATCATGAAATGTTTTCTGAAACATGCCACGTTACAGACGTTAGCTGCTTTGCGAATGCTGTCTTTAAGTACACAGTGTGAAGCGAGGAGTAATAGAGATATCAGAGGTGGAAAAACATTGACGGTAGAGCCTGTGATGAAGAATTAATGTGTGTGCCAGAGGCAGTGAACAGCAAAAGACGAACCTCCCTGAGCTCTCCTATTCTTCTCAGGGCTTTATCTTGACTCTGGCTGAGGATGGCCTGAGAGACACACAGACAGAGATGAATGACAGACTTATATCGCTGCCAAACCTCACAGCACAAACACAGCAACTCATTAAAGGAAAAACATTAGGAAAACATCCCCCGAGCGCAGAGGAAACTACAGTCATTAATTCTGCAGCATTGGCTGAATATGAAATTACCTGAGTTTTCTCTTTATCTCGCTGTACGGTTCTGTAGGCTGTTAACAACTGAGAGAAGAAAAGGAGAAAGAATATATCAGTCAAGGAATAATGAACAAACTGTCCCATTCCCAAATCAGGAATTCTGTGTAGGATCACATGATCTGATCAGAACTGGGATCAGAAATATATCAGAGATGTTGAGTGATCCAATTTATACTTGTGGCTAGTTTATTAGTTCTGCCGCTAGTCAATGCATTGGGTCTGTGTCGACTAGTTGTAGGTCATGTATATATATATATATATTGTATATATATACACTCACCTAAAGGATTATTAGGAACACCATACTAATACTGTGTTTGACCCCCTTTCGCCTTCAGAACTGCCTTAATTCTATGTGGCATTGATTCAACAAGGTGCTGAAAGCATTCTTTAGAAATGTTGGCCCATATTGATAGGATAGCATCTTGCAGTTGATGGAGATTTGTGGGATGCACATCCAGGGCACGAAGCTCCCGTTCCACCACATCCCAAAGATGCTCTATTGGGTTGAGATCTAGTGACTGTGGGGGCCATTTTAGTACAGTGAACTCATTGTCATGTTCAAGAAACCAATATGAAATGATTCGAGCTTTGTGACATGGTGCATTATCCTGCTGGAAGTAGCCATCAGAGGATGGGTACATGGTGGCCATAAAGGGATGGACATGGTCAGAAACAATGCTCAGGTAGGCCGTGGCATTTAAACGATGCCCAATTGGCACTAAGGGGCCTAAAGTGTGCCAAGAAAACATCCCCCACACCATTACACCACCACCACCAGCCTGCACAGTGGTAACAAGGCCTGATGGATCCATGTTCTCAATCTGTTTACGCCAAATTCTGACTCTACCATCTGAATGTCTCAACAGAAATCGAGACTCATCAGACCAGGCAACATTTTTCCAGTCTTCAACTGTCCAATTTTGGTGAGCGCTTGCAAATTGTAGCCTCTTTTTCCTATTTGTAGTGGAGATGAGTGGTACCCGGTGGGGTCTTCTGCTGTTGTAGCCCATCCGCCTCAAGGTTGTGCGTGTTGTGGCTTCACAAATGCTTTGCTGCATACCTCGGTTGTAACGAGTAGTTATTTCAGTCAAAGTTGCTCTTCTATCAGCTTGAATCAGTCGGCCCATTCTCCTCTGACCTCTAGCATCAACAAGGCATTTTTGCCCACAGGACTGCCGCACACTGGATGTTTTTCCCTTTTCACACCATTCTTTCTAAACCCTAGAAATGGTTGTGCGTGAAAATCCCAGTAACTGAGCAGATTGTGAAATACTCAGACCGGCCCGTCTGGCACCAACAACCATGCCACGCTCAAAATTGCTTAAATCACCTTTCTTTCCCATTCTGACATTCAGTTTGGAGTTCAGGAGATTGTCTTGACCAGGACCACACCCCTAAATGCATTGAAGCAACTGCCATGTGATTGGTTGATTAGATAATTGCATTAATGAGAAATTGAACAGGTGTTCCTAATAATCCTTTAGGTGAGTGTATATATACAGTGGTGGTGAAAAGTTTGGAAACATTACTATGTTTAAAATTATTTTGAAAGAAGTCTCTTTTGCTCATCAAGCCTGCATTTATTTGATCAAAAACAAAGAAAAAACAGTAATATTGTTAAATGTTATTCCAATTTGAAAAATGGTTTTCTATTTTAATATACTTTAAAAAATAATTTATTTCTATGATGCAAAGCTGAATTTTCAGCATCATTACTCCAGTCTTCAGAGTCACATGATCCCTCAGAAATCATTCTAATACTGTATTTGTTTTTGCAGTCTTATTTTTAAAGCTTATTAAAAAACTTTTTTGGCAAATTAAAAATGACACTGCAAAGACAGGATGGCATCAAGCATGCCTGACTACTTCCTAAGGTGTCTTGAGTGAGTGGATCAGTGTAAATAAATACCAGTGTAAACAGTTAAACCCCTCACACTGTCAGCATCATCTCAGATATGTGTTGGACTGAGGCAGCACTGATGTGTCATGTTTATTATGCATAGTCTGTACTAGAGGGCTGAGCTCTTCTTGAACAAAACAGACTTGTTCAAATAATCTCTCAATTGAATCATGTTCATGCCGTAACGTTTATTGATCAATTACTTCACTATTATCAGGACACATCCTACATCAGAGGAAATGCAGGGATTACAAATTAGCCAAAGAGCTTTCCTTGAAACACGATACCTTTTATATTTAACATGAGGGTTTCTGTGCTTTATTTTCAATTAACCTAACGCATCAGGAATGGGAGAGCCTTAGATTTGGATGTGGGTTGCTTCCAGGCCAATAAATCCGCCAATATTTTACCATTTTAAGAGCATCGCATCTAATGGTTTGTTCAAATACCTAATGAGCAAAAACACTACTTCTGGAAAAGGCCCTGATGGCTTACAAAGATTGCAGTTTCCATCTCAAGTAAGCATGATTTAGGGGAACTATCCCTGGGAAAAGTGCACTATAAGCCACTTTGAATGAACACAATCTGCTACGACAAGTCATTTAGAAAGAAATATTTTGAATTAGATGCTCAACAATACTAGAAGCATGTAGTAAAAAAAAAAATCGAAGGAAAATCGGGTTGTAACAACAATACAGTTGCATTTGATGTGTCAGTCTCATTAACATACATCATTAAAAATCTTATGCCTGGAGCAGACCTGTCATACAGATAACAGACTGACTAGACAAAATCTGACTCCACAGAAACACACTGACAGACATTAATGCACTGCTCGCTTTGGTGCACGCTTATATAATTAACAATATAATAATAATTAAACATTTCATAAAGCAATAATATCATGAACATAAAAACATGAGCAATGACTTTGAGATACGTGTATGTAACGTGAACATGACGGCACCCAGTAAGATCATAAATGTAATAAATCTTAATATTAATCAGAAATAGTTACTTTTAAACAAATAAAATGCAAATTTGACATGAAATGACAAAAATAGTTTGCATTTTGTGGCCTGAGGTGTTCAGAGACACATCCGTGTCTAAAAAACAAAAACAATTCCAATTGTATTGGAAACAGTATCTGATGTGACCACCTACTTTTCCAACAAGTAAAAATTGTGCCAAAACAAAAGTTTTAAACTTTATTTATTAGAAATGAATCTGATCTGACTAATGAATGAGCATCTGACTAATTGCAGGAGTTATATAATATGTAATGTGAGGCACTCCCCTAGAATCTCCCTGCAAAAGCAATTATTATTGGATCTGATCATGTTTAGATCACCCGAGTCCGCTCACCTCCGAGTATTTCCCCCTGTAATTCCCGAGGCTTCTCTCCACCCTGTGCAGGCGGTTCAAGAGCTGCTCTTTAGACAGACTCTCCACGCTGCCGGGCGAATCTTCCGCCTCGCTCTCGATGTCTGACGGAGGGTCGTACGCCGGGGCGTCATTCTCTCCGATGAGCGTGAGGGATTCTCTGGAGGAGCTTCTAACCAGACTGTCCCGTGAGCTGGAGCGGAAGAGCCCTTCACTGCGACCCGAACCCCGGAGCAGAGAATCCATGGAGGACACCTTCTGCTGCAGCTTCTGGGCCAGAGACTGAGGCTCCTCTTTCTGGAGGACAAGCAATACTTGAGTATACAAACATTCCAGAAAAAGAGAAAAATAAGTAGACCCTATTTAAAGATCAAAGACTACAACTTTAATCAGGCCTATTATTAAAAAATGACAATAATACAGTCATGCCCCACTGAAATCCAATGACAATTATACACTCCTCCAAAATGGGACATTTAAAATGTGCTGAAGGGAGCAATATCCGTGACATAAACAGTACTGTGCAAAAGTCATGCTTTACAAAAATATTTGTTTTAAGACACATTTACTGTATACCTTTTTCTTTAGTGACTTTCACACAGTGCTATATGTGCACTACCGTTCAAAATAATTATCTTACACTCACTGAGGCTGAATTTATTTGATAAAAAAATACAGTAAAAATAGTAATTTTGTGAAATATTATTACCATTTAAAATAACTGTTTTCTATGTGAATATATTTTAATATGCAATTTATTCCTGTGATCCTGAATTTTCAGCATCATTACTCCAGTCTTCAGTGTCAGAGAAACATCATTTACTTGAAATTTTTTTTAGGGCTGTCAAATGATTAATCTTGATTAATCACATCCAAAATAAAAGTTTGTGTTTACATAAATATGTGGGTGCACTGTGTATAATTATTTTGTGTGTATATATATATATATATATATATATATATAAATACACACACATGCATGTATATTTAAGAAAAAAATATTATTTATATATAAAATATTTATATTTATATATAATATAAATTATATATAAATCTATATACAGTATATACATGAAAATATTTCTTGAATATATACAAGCATGTGTGTGCATTTAAATAATTATACACAGTGCACCCACATATATTATGTAAACAAAAACTTTTATTTTGGATGTGATTAATCACGATTAATCATTTGACAGCCCTAATTTTTTTGTAATATTATAAATGTCTTCACTATCACTTTTGATCAATTTAATGCACCTTTACTGAATCAAAGTATTAATTTCTTTCATTAAAAATGACCTTGCTGTCAAACTTATTTCAGAAAAATCAGCATTAAACACTATCTAAACTACACATTAAACCACATGAACTATACTGGTGTTGGTTGAGGAGAGATCCGCTGATATGATGTGTGTGTACAGTAGTACATATGAAAGCGCTATATATAAATGCCTCATTCATTCATAGACTGTCACTTGCCTGAGGAGAAGCGACTCCATCCCCGTTCACACTGCCTCTCGGAGAGCTGCCGGCTGCTTTAGCAATGCTCTGCACCAGAACAGAACCAACAAACATGAGTGAAAGAGTGTCCCGCCGCTCAACTTTAGGCCCGGTTAGTATTCCTCCAGCCATCGTGCTGCACCCCGATTACTCTGGGAGCAATATTAGTTTTTGCTACGAGAAATACAGGGGCTTCTGGTTACACCCACCTTAACCTCATGCAACTCGGAGATTAACACAGGGGTTAAATACAAACATAGACAGCATAACTACTGCGTTAAACAAACAAGGAGTTAAACACAGCAGCACTACACTAGCAGCTTCGTCAACTGCAAACAGTCCAAACCCACTAGAGGAGCTGGTTACTGAGCATGTGGAGTTCTGCAGGAGTTAGACGGCCACAGCGTTCTCCCTGAGTAGATGAAACAAGTCATATGTTACTCTGTTTGTGTTCAATGTATACAAATCTCACCCTATTGTACCTTCAGAATTGAACGTTTTTGAAATATGAACAGGTGAACAAAATCTAAAGCTGCGTGCCGTGCACACTGTATAACTATTTCTTTTTCAGGCATAACATTGGCAACATTAAAGTTTATTTTTTGCGTGTAAACGAGAACTCTGCTGTTGAACGCCCAATCAATGTTGTCCCAGTTTTAGCTAAGATGCATATCATAAAATATAGTAAGATTGCATCAAATTTGAAATGGAAGGAAAAAAAATGCATTTAAAAAATAATGCATAAATCATAATTTGAAAAATTTACCAAAGTCTGGACCTCTGTGACCTCAGAAAAATGGGTTTAAAATTCCTCTTAAAATGCAATATGCTGGAAACGGCATTTTGCTGCAGGTTAAAGGTCAAAGCTAGCCGTATTTACATTAAAATCAACAACTGAAGCTCACTTTCTGTTTGCTGTGCAGGAGGCAATCCCTACACACATCAGGCCAAAAGTAATAAAGCACAGCATTATCAGACATGTTTTCACTTTGATAACCTAAAAAAAGGACACTCAATCCACAAGTGTCCTTCAGAACATTATACACAAGTAAGTTTAGCAATAAACACTTCCAGTTTACAGAGGGAAGAACTAAACACATTTGCATATGCCAATGACGGCCAGGGAGACTTTGACTATGTAATGTCACATTATAAGCACAATCTCTAACACCAGCAGTATATTTATTTATGCAGTTATCATTGCACCCGTCTATAATATTGCTGTACAATACAGTATCAATTCACGGCCAAATTAATCACAATACTACAAATAACAGCGTCAGAAATGGACTTTTTATTAACACAATATTTGTCCCTAGAATTGATTTGCAGGGGCATTTTAACCTTTATTATAGCATTTATTTTCTAATCAGGTAAAAAAAACGCACAGTTTGTTGCAATGCTGAAGGAAAAAAGCAATGCAAAGCTTTCTAACAAACACCACGGAGTTAAATGAGAGTCTGCTTAATCAGATTAAGGCCAATCGAGATTCATATAACTAATTTGGTGCAGAATACAAAATACACCCTTAAACATTTCAACTCCCATTATGCTGAAAAACAAAATTAAGTCCACTTTACACATCAGAATATTCTGAAATATATCACAGAATTGCATAATCCTCTTGTCTATTTCTACCTAATGAACATGCTGTGACTAATAATCCACCAGATCACATGAGCAGTGTGTTCGATCTGATTGGCGGCGCTGTACGTCAGCTGATGTGTGTGTAATGTGCTCAGGTGCATGTGGAGGGATTATCTGTATCTAGAGATAATGAGCCAATCCTTCTGTCAGAGCTGAGCCTCTGAGTCTCCACAGACACAATAACTGTAGTGGAAAGAGCAAGCTGTTACCAGGCAAAGTGGCCTTACTGTAAAACGGAGCCTTAAGTATAAAAACACATTATTATTAGGATTTAAATTGTTATTATTATCATTATATTACGTTATTATGATAATAATACTTCATTATTATATTTTATATTACATTACTTAACCAATTAACATAACCGTTAGATCCCTCTTGTGTCAGTTTCAAAATCAAAAACATTTTTCAAAAGTAAATAAGAGTAAAATAACTAAAGCGTGCACTGGGAAATGTTGGCGCAAGTCATGCGAAAGGGCCTTCAGTAATCCAAGTTTAGAAGCACAAAAACTTTAAACAAAGAATCTGAATGTTTTTGTAAGGAAATCACAAGAACTCTCAGGGAACAGCAAGGGAACATTCAACATCGTCTAACCGGGGGGAATCTATCAGGATACTACTCAGGGAAAGGGACAGGGAATCCATGGCAATTTCTATCACTACGGGAAGAACATTCATTCCTGGAGATGCCAAATTAGAGGAACTAGGGATGGGCGGTATGACGATATATATATCGT